TGATGGTGAACGAACGGACCGCTGTCATGATCGCGAGCGGTGCAATTTCAGCGGTGGTGAAAGAATCCGTGGTTGCGTTGTGTTTAGCGGTGGAAAGTAGTCGCGTCAGGTTAATAGAATCGAGAAGTCGTTAACGATCGTCCTCCACTTTGCTCGAGTGGCGCGCGTTAAGGCCTCGAGGTGTTGACCAGATCGAGTATTGTTCGTCTTTCCCATGATAGTAACCGGTGAATGACGCCCGACTGGCGATGATACGTCACGATAATGGCCGGTAATTCGACGTACCATCTCGCGAGGCTCGTGCGCGCGAGGCTTCTACGAGGAATATTGTTTACAACGGTGCAACAAGAGAGGCAGAGAGAGATGCCTTGCCTTTTCAATTATCCAACCTTGCAGCGATATCGACGATGGTCGATGGAAAGGCCACACGTGAACACTTGGCCAGGCGGTTGCACGCGCGTGATCACCGCCGGTAAACCCCACACGCACCGGTTCCTGACCTCTTCTAACAAAACTGCCGGCGTGAAACTGCGCATTCTTCCGTCACCGTTTCGCAGACGAACGTTTTGCAGACGCTAATCTAAATTTTTGGAAACTCTTTAGAGAAAACATTCTCTAGCTGTTCTACCAACGAATGATGATAGTTGATCAAATTTCTCATCTTTTGTAACATTGTTATTGGTATACTAACCCTTAGCGGTCGTATGTCTGTTCTCAGTCACCAAAGCAAAGAATCATTCTGATAATCAACGAAATCAACACGCTTCTGAGGTATGTATAATTCTTGATGCGATTACACATTTTTTTGTTTTTGTAATTAACTTTTTGAAAAATTAAATAAAGAATACCTATAACGGCAAAAAGAAAGTTAGCGAGAGACGTGCATCATGAAATTGAATGTAGTGATGATGATTTTTATCTTGAATTCTTCAATAATTCTTTCGATGAGGAAACGGATGACGTGATATAATTCCGATAACGAAACATGTGAGATCATTAGATATTTTGAGCGACAGAAATAGAAGAAAATTATAGAAATGAGAATACTGCTATGAATGAGTTTACGGTTTGGAAAGATGATCACGCACGCAACGATCAACCTCGATCAAAAATGAATTTCTCCACGGGCTCCAAGATTATTGGACCTAATATTCCTTTATATTGTACAGAACCCATCGATTTTTTCAAACTATTTTTCACAAATGCATTACTTGACACAATTGTATTGGAAACAAATAGACATGCTAAAAATAAAATAGAAAAACTGAATTCATCTGAACAGTCTATTTGGAATAACTGGGTTGACGCGACAAAAGATAAGTTGACTGTGTTTTTTCGCGTAATTTTGAACATGGGTATTATGCTCATTTCTAATTTGAAGGATTACTGGACTAAAGAGCACGTTGGAAGCATACGCTTTTTCAGAGATATATTTATATTACTAGTGTTTCCTTATAACAGTAAAAATATTTCTCGGTTGTTGAGCAGTTTATAACAGAAAGGACTCTTATGCATGCTAAGATTCGTCATTTTTGATTCCATAAATTTCAAACAGTTAAGTACTAAATTGCTACGAATACCGTGAAGAAACTATATCTAATTAAATCGCGAAATTATGATACGATCGTCACATATTCTTTCACACGATTCAACCAATTGAAATTTCATAGACTGAAAAGTCACAGAAGGTAGGTTCATTTTCGACATTGAAAAAATAGAATCATGTCACAGGGTATACCCATAAGTAATGTCGTTTCTTGATACTGTAACAAAATTTTATTTTACTTACGAGTCAATACAGTTTTAATCTGTAATATAATTCGACAATAACGCTAAATGTCAATGTATTTAACGTAGAATATAAATTATGTTATAACGAGTTGAATTATTGTCACTAGATGGCAATGTTTATTAAATTTGAAGAAAACGTCAGCACTTAATCGCATATAAATCGATCGAAGAACGAATTGCACAAATTGATCGAGCAGAATTGTGATCAACGATAACGAGAATAGATTTATCAAATATCAGAAATAACCAGAGAGCTGCGACACGGTGAATATGATTGTCTTTCGTTTCGTTTCAGAAGCACGTCCAAAAACTCCCCGTGCGTTTCCTCGCATTCTCGATCGTTTCTCTCCCTCTTCCCTCAGCTTGCAACCATCGTCGGTTGGAAAAGTTGAGACCGCGGAGTCCGGAATTCCACGTTTCTATCCGATGAATAATTCCATGAGCGACGGTACTACGCCGGGGAATAATGACCGATAATTCGAGGTACCGACTCCTCTCGGGCGCGGGGCAACAAGAACACCGGTGTGTACGCGAGTCGAGCCGAGCCGAGTCGAGTCGAGACGAGACAAGACGAGACGAGACGAGACGGGGAGGAGACGGCTGACTTTTCAATTATCGAACCTTCTTCCTCCACGATAACGACGGCCCCGGTGAACTTGCGTACGTGCATTTCACCGCGAGCATTTCAACCCCCTTTTCCAACCAAAGGCTGCATCGAAATTGCATCTTTGACCGTTTAATGAAAACCGGCGTGCAGGTTGCGCCGAGGGTAATGAATATCTTACGCCTCGTGCCTTTGAGAGGATCTAGCTCGGCTGGTCGCTGCCGATCTTCATCCCCTACCGGAGCAAGAATCCACGTCCAACTCGCTTCAGACAGCGATAGGTGAGAAAAGGGGGTAACTTCGGGGGAAAAAGAGGAACATTTTTTTTAGTCAGCGACGATGACAATGGAACGAGAGAAGGAATGAGAGTGACGTTCGACGAAGGGCCACGAAATTGATCGATCATACGCAAAAACGTATGTGCGTTTTCCAAGACGAGCAGCGGCCATATTGTCACCGTGGAACATCTGCCACTGTGCAGACCGTGCGTTTTCAACGAGTTCTCCACAGGGTGTTTATATACGTCGACACCCTTGTGTCGATAAGTGTGGCGGATAATTTGCAAAGCATTGAAGACATTTCCGTAGTTTGGATCGTTGATTGAAACATTTGAATGATTAATACACAAAATGCCAGGATAGCTTTTTTCTATTGTATATTCGTCACACTTGTCCGAATCACAAATATGCACGAAAACTGAACTGAAAAGTCCACGAGGATATCGTTTGACAAATATGATAAATCTAAGGAAATACTAATCTATAGACTTTCCTTTTTTTTTTCTATCCTCGTTGTTTCATCCAGTGGTACGAATCAAGCATTCTGTACGAGCCAGAAAGTAACCAGTAAAAAATTCCGAAATAACGGAAACATCACTCGACAAATGTTTATCCAACGAATGATAATTCATTAAACCTAGGTTAGAACCGACTGTTTGACAGGCACAACGAAGGAATCGAACCAAGTTTTGTCTCCGTGCTTTTGTGTACTCTTTCTTGGTTCTTCTTTCAGTGATACAAACCAAGCATTTCTGCCCGTCATCGAGCGGTCGACCGCGCCGAGCAAAGACAAGAATTGCGGTCGGCTAGAGAATGCAAGTTTCCGGTCGTCGGAAAAAATTCGTTCCGAGAAAGGACAAATTAGGGTGACATCCTCGTTGTTGCGTCCGGTGCTCCAGGTAAATCCTCTTAGGTCGCGTAAAAAGGCCCATTTCGTGCATTCATCCCCACCCAACGTCCATCGAACGAGGACGTATTTTTGCGACAAACGGTGTACAACCGCGCCTGTTCGCAGCCCATTGTCGTCGTCGAAAATGTCAACGGGGGCTTCCGTTTAAAAGGACACTTTTACCCTACGAATCGGATTATCGGATTACCAGCGTGGAAGTGAAGTGGAGCGAGACGTCGAGGATCTTTTTCTACCCGCCGATGACAGAATTTTCGCTTCAGCTTCCATGTATGCTAATTGCCCTTCGCCTTTTTATATTATATCGGAAGAAAACGACCGATGTAACACAATCTATTGCAAATTCAAATGGAATAAGAATTTTTTGCGAGATAAAAAATTTTTCTGTTCCTTCTAAAGAATTATCCGAATTTTTGCCTCCTTCTAAAAAAATCGACTTTTGTTTACTTTTGTTTGACACGTTGTTTCATTTAATTTAGGTACTTTTTTTTTTATATTTCAAGTTGAAGTATTGTTGCACTTTGATTTTAAATATTTTCCCCTTGAATTTACTCTGTTTTATTATTTTTTGGAGGGATGTTTAAATATATCTCGTCGCTGTTATTTTCTACTTTCGTGACGATTGACAGTGTATTCGCCGTTAAAGTCGATTTTTAGAGCATTTCTTGCTGAAAATTTCACTATTATTTGTATATTTTTTTAAAGGGAATGATTTTCGATGACTGTCGAAAAAGCAGTGTGACACTGCAAAATGCAAGAAGTTTTTACAACAACGATATCTCTTGTATTTATTTATTATTTTCGAATTTACTATTATATGTCATCTCGCTACGATACTAACCTTCATTCGTCGTCTAATGAAATCGCTAAACTGATAAAAGAGTTAATTTCTTTCAATTGGAGTGATTTCAAACACTGATTTACAGAATTACACTTGTAATTCACAAAAAAAAAAAAAAAAAAATTACACTTTGTTACTATTTCCTAAAAAAAGAAAAAGAGAGATCTATATATAACGCAAGTTTTCTTATCGAGGTGGAATAAGAATGGTTAGTTTCTGATTCTACGAGGACTATATGTACACAAGCAACTAGAAAGAAATATTGCATCGGGCAGCGACGGGGTGCGGTGAGTTCCGTTGGTGAATAAGTAATGAGAATTCGGACCATACTTGGCGATCAATGTGCTATGTATCGAAATAAAGTCGATCGATTCTGCATACGAAGCGGGCGACTTAGTCACCGGTTGGATTATACTTATACCTCGACGTATCTGCTGATAAAAAGTTCTGTCGTTGCTTGATTAATTAATCAGCGTAAAATCGATGAAAATCCATCGCAATGCTCGACGAAAAGTTGCAACAACCAGTTTAGTAATGTAAACGACGGAATTTAAACACGAAATTATATCGACGAAATTTCGATGTGAAATAATCTCCCCCGATTTGACTGAAATATTTCGTTCTTTCTGTATTAGTTTCAAACAGTAAATTATAAATGTCTCTAAGCGAGGATATCGTTTTTATGTGTATCAATGTGTTACTTTTCTAAAAAAACTGAATATATAAATATGTGTTTGAAGTATTTATAAACTGTAGGAATTTTTTTTCCAACAGAAATAATTTGTTTATTAGGCGTATTTGTACATGAAAGGTAGAAGCGAGATATTTGCAACAAATCTACTGAAATAATTGGGTGAAATTATAATTGAAATTAATACAAAATATTTTTAAATACAATTATTCACCGAGTTGTTGTTTAAGTAAATGTACCTATAAAATACGACGATGTACTATCACATAATAATAATATCTCTGCGTACCAAGTATCCGAGATTTAATTCATTTCAATAAAATTTCCTCTTTTCAAAATTTCAGCCGAAAAAATTGTACTGTCTGCAAAAAGTTCTTCCAAGTCTCGGCTCTCGAGTCGCTAAAAATCTGCCTTGCAAACGTTACTTTCGTTTGGGAGGAACGAAAACCCCTGTCAAAACATCGGGCAAATCGGAGCACAGGCGATTTCATAGACGACGGTCGTTTCGATCGACACGGTCGTTTCGAAACGAAACGAAAAGATTGATGGAAAGAGAAAATTCCTTAGCGAGATAGTTATCCCCCGTGTAAAATCGCCGTTTACGAAGATCGGGTGACGAGAGAGAAAGAGAGAGAAAGGAAGTAGGTATCGCGTTACCATCCCACGCATCCTGTCAAGTGGATCCTCTCGGTGGACAAAGAGCGGCAGACAAATAATTGGCTCCTTGGGTGCACAGGTAGAGGCCAAGAGTCCCTTTTGATCCTTGAGAACCTTGCGTAAGGACCATTATGTTCGACGGGGGATACTCGATACATTGCTCGATGCTGGGTGCACGAACAACGAAAAGCGAACGAAAGCGACGTACGACGATGAAACTAAACGGCTGGTAACATTACGACGGCGACAGGCGAGCACCTCCCGGGTAATTTTATATTTGTCTTCGCGTTCTCGGGTTATACACCAAGAGCGGATCGATCCGAGCGAATCGTTTAATGCCACGAGGATGAACCTGCATTCTCTCTCTTTCTCTCTCTCTCTCTCTCTCTTCGGTTTCGAAAATCACGATTGGTAAGCTCGATGATTAATGGCGAAGAGGCGCACAGTATCCAAAACAACGTTACAGGTTGTTGACGAAGGATAAACTACAAGATGATTAATTCCTCCTGGTCTCTCCCTATTCTTGCGAATTTGTCGTTCATTTAACGAAAAAAGCTAAATCTAAAATGAATTCGCAACTTTTCTTTGTCACGAATGTAGTAATGACCGAGTCATTTTACATTTGCACCAAAAAGATGGCGTTATTCAGTTCTTACATTAAAGATACGAGGGACTGAAGTCTGTGAGAAGATATTATTCAGCACTGTATTCTT